AGAGCTTAAATGGTTGTATTAGATGGACTATAGGTGACAAGATCAAGATTAAAGTTTTGGATCACATTTGGATTCATGACCATTCATTGCTAAAATGGCCTAATTATGTAAATATTGAGGCTACCAAGTCTTTAATGGTTAGGGATCTTCTTAACTGTGAAGGGAATTGGGATAATCTTATGTTTTTGCATTATTTTGGGCATGATTTAGTTGAGCTAATCAGCAGTATTTTGATGAATGTTAATGATGGGACATAATATGTTGATATGGTTAAGGCTCCTTGTGGTTTAACTATTTCGGCCATTGCATATAATAAGAAATTTATCAATTTGGGTGATGCAGTTTGACATGTTTTGAAACTATGTCTGCACCCTAGAGAGAGTATGTTCTAGTAGTGGTTGCATTGTTCCTATAAATAGCTGGTTGAATTCTCATGGATTGGCTGATGATATTAGGTGTCCGTGGGGTTGTAATGATATAAAAGAATATTGATCATGTAGCAGTGCATTGTAATCAGCTTGTTAGGGTGATGGAGGTATTGGCGAAATGGGGAATTCAAACTCCATGTTTTAGTGGTTTGCAAGAAATGCTATTGTGATTATAGATTGCTAGTTATATGGATGAAAGTTGGAATAAATTTTATTGATATGCAGTGTATCAATGCTGGTGTTGGATAAATGTAGAGAAACATGGCAGGTCCTATAGTTCACCTACAGTTATGGTTGTTAGATTTTTTTAAACTCTTACTCAAAGATGGTCTTCTATTCCCTTAAAGCTGTTGGAAGATTATTGTGCTTGGTCTGGACAAAAGGTTAATATGGTCAAGTCGGCTATAATGTATGATAAATTGACCCCTTACTAGAAGAAAATTTGGCTAACAAGATTGGTGGGGTTCTGATGGGTGGAAGAGACATAATATTTGGGTATTAAGTTAGCCATGAGGAGACTTATGAAGATGGACTTCATGAGACTCATCCAAAAGGCCAAAATAAAAGTGAATGGCTGGGGTAATTGACACTTGTTGTTAGTTAGGAGGGTGACACTCATCAATACATCCCATCTTTCCATGGCAATTTATGTTATGACTCATTCTGCCATTCCTAAGAAGCTTTATTTGAGATAGAAGTAGTCATACTCAGGATCCTCATTGTTTAGCCTGGAACTTGCTTTGTAAGCCCAGACAACTGGGTGGGCTTGGGTTTCATGCGACCAAAGATGAATGGGGTCATTAAGTGCTCAGATCGCATGGGGATTTCTTCATAAACATGACTCCATGCTGCATTGTTTATTGGCTCTCATGTATGGTGATAATCCGTGAGAGTTGAATGCTAAACGAGGTTATTCTATGTCTTGGCAAATCATCTATGATGGTGCCCAGAGCTTAGATGATTGTATCAGGTGGACTATAAGTGATAGGAGCAAGATTAAAGTTTTGGAGCACATTTGGATTCATGACCATTTGTTGCTAAAATGGCCTAGTTATGTGAATATTGAGGCTACCATGTCTTTAATGGTTAGGGATCTTCTTAACTGTGAAGGAAATTTGGATAATCATATGTTTTTGCATTATTTTGGGCAGGATTTAGTTGAGCTAATCAGCAGCATTCTGATGAATGTTAATGATGGGACATATTATGTTGATCTATTTAAGGCTCCTTGTGGCCTAACTATTTCGGCCATTGCATATAATAAGAATTTTAGCAATTTGGGTGATGCAATTTGACATGTTTTGAAACTATGTATGCACCCTAGAGAGAGTATGTTCTAGTGGCGGGTGAGTAAGGGCATTGTTCCTACAAATAGCTGGTTGAATGCTCATGGATTGGCTAATGATATTAAGTGTCCATGGGGTTGTAATGATATAAAAGATATTGATTGTGATGCCCCAGAATCAAATAGTGAAAGGATTCGTCTGACATTCTGATCGAACTCCATTCCAGTTAAATAGCTGGTTGAATGCTCATGGATTGGCTAATGATATTAAGTGTCCATGGGGTTGTAATGATATAAAAGATATTGATCATGTAGTAGTGCATTGTAATCAGCTTGTTAGGGTGATGGAGGTATTGGCGAAATGGGGAATTCAAACTCCATGTTTTAGTGGTTTGCAAGAACTGCTATTGGGATATAGATTGCTAGTCATATGGGATAAAATTTGGAATAAATTTTTTTGCTATGCAGTGTATCAATGCTGGTGTGGGATAAATGTAGAGAAACATGGCAGGTTTTATAGTTCACCTACGGTTATGGCTGTTAGATTTTTTTAAACTCTTACTCAAAGATGGTCTTCTATTCATCCGGAGTATTGGAGCACTGCTCGGCTTTATGGGCTGGCTCTTCCCTCATCATGGTCCCCCCCCCCCCCCCCCCCCCCCCCCCGCCGCGCGAATTTGCTGAAGATCAACGCATATGGGGCGCTTAGGTGGAATAGGAATTATTGTTCGGGTCGAACATCGAAATCCAATCATTGTTGCTAGCTAGGGATTGTGCATTGGGATAGTTTGTATGTCGAGCTTCAAGCCATGCATTATATCAGCCGAATCTTACAAGATTGGATGTATGACATACGTTGGGTCATTATAGAAAATGATAATGCTTCCATTATTCAGCTTATTCAAAAGTGTTAGAACCTGAGAAGTTGGTGTGATCGGCCTCAATTCAGTGAGAAGTTCAATTGGCTCATGATTTTTTACAATGTTAGATTCCAGCATGTGAATAGAAGATTTAATTCTGCAGCTCATTTTTGTGCCCAAAAAGCTATTTATTGTAATTTTTCTTGGTGTTTTTCTGATTTAGATACTAAGAACATTACTCAGGAGTTTTTTGATATCCTTAGGAATGATTTGAGGCTTCATTATCATTCTTAGGGCCTTTTTGTTTGCCCGTCCTTTATATTTTTTTTTTTCTATAAAAACATAATGCAAATGTTCTCAGGTACACCTTTTTCTTTTTCTTTTTAACTAATGCAAGCTTATAACAAGATGTAATTCAAATTTGTATAAAAATTTTGAATAAATAAAATAAAGCAATTTTTTATAATTTTAGCTATTCACAAGTTCTACTTTTCTTTTTGCTCTTATGACTTTTGTGGTTATGCTCACAACTTTAGACACGTTGGAGTTAGCAGTTGCACTCTTTTCACAGTTTTAGTTTAAGTTTTGAAATTTTGGTTCATTCATAATAACTCAAATATGTGAAATAAAGTTTCTTGAAAAATATGCAAATTTTGAAGCAGAGCGCTTTGGTGCTGATTTGATGAGCGCTGGTGCGTTAGGCCATAAATAATATATATATATACCCCACCGACTCCCTCACTTGTTGTTTGGGATGAAGAAATTGATAAAATGGAAGAATAGAGAGTAGTGAAAGATGTTATGACCATATTTGTCAGTCATTCCTATTATAGATTTTGTTCTATTTATCATAAGTGACCAATTTCTTACTTATGTTTTTAATTATTTTGATTTATTCATATTTTATCTCACCTAAATATGTCAAAATACATTATATCATGATTTCATAAGCTTTCATAATGTAAGTTTGGATATGTTATAGATTTGATCATTCTAAATGATTTGATATAATTTTACTACATTTTAAATGAAGTATTGAATGATATAAAATATATGACATGATAACTCCACGTGATACCTTACTCATTAAAGGTGTGAAAATCTAAACCAACTTGAAATCCGACTCGAAAAATTCTTGATTCTGGTTTTTTGAGTCAAGTTGACCCATTTTCCATACAAGTCGGGTTTAGGTATGAGTTTTCGAACCATTTGCAACATCGAGTCGGGTTCAAGTTGATCCGGAAACCTGAAATCAACCTGATTTGCCCCAGAAAAATGGCTGCCACATTTAGTGCGTGACCTCATCTGAACGTCTGGTCGTGTCCTCCGTTGGAGCTCGCTTGTTAGACCTCGTATAGTCGAGTCATAGCCATCGCTGCCGCATCTCGCACGGCCCATGTCCTCTATCCTCAACCGCCAAGCGCTAGATGGTAAGAGCCAGAGACCCTAACTCGTACGACTGGTTGGCGTCGACTCCACAAGCCGCATCAGCACCACCTCAGCCCGCACTGGCCTCTCCTGCTGTCGCACTCGCTCGTTTTTTAATCAAATGGGATTGCAGGTCTTGTCGAGTCAACTCGGTAACTCGCACTGGTCGGGTCCGGGTTGAAATACCTGACCCGTTTGTAAAAAAATGGGTCAGGTTCAAGTTGACCTGTTTAGACCTGGGTCAACTCGAGTTCGACTCGAACCCGACCTGTCGGCTCGTTTTGACACCCATACTACTCATTAACATTATTCACTGATGGGGAGTCATAAGGAGATGAAGATTGATTTGGAGTTATATATATAAACTAGGGGTGCAATCGAGTCAAGCAGGCTCGTGAGCCGACTCGGGCTCGACTCGTTAATGGGCTTGATGAGTCGATCTTATCGAGCTCATGAGTCGAGCTTGAACACAATTTTGAGATTGCTTTGCTTATCGAGCTCAAGTTCAATCCAACGAAAGATTGGCTCGATTACTCGTGAGCTGGCTCTGAGGTGGGATCACAGCACGGAATCAAATTGCAGGATCGTGAAATCGAGGGTGGGAACGAGAAATCGTAGTACGAGATTTCATAGCGCTGGAGTGGGACGTGGACGCGGGCAGCAGAGCGGGTCGCGATCCAACACTAGTGTGATTTTACAGTGTGGGGGCGACACTGACGTGGCTAGCGGGATTGTAGAATCGAACGCGATCCTGAGCGGAGCAAGATCGCAGCGTGGGAGTGGGACGCGATCCAACTACTGCTCGACGAGCTCAATCTGAACTTTTGAGTTTGACTCGAGTTCAAGCTCAATATCAATATTCGACTTGTTGAACACCCATTGACTCGAGCTTGACTCGATTCGTTTGCACCCCTAATATAAATTAATAAGTTGTATAAGATCCACTAAAAATTTATTCATTTAAGAAAAATTATAAAAAAAATAAGCTTCCGGCCTTGTACATGGCCAAGAGCCTAAGCAGATAGGCCCAACATCTCACAGCCCACAATGTATATCGGTTGTGCCTTCCTCGCTTGGTCGTGAATCGACCGGCCATGGCAGACAGCAGCGAAGGCGGAGTACCACCAGCACCAGTTGTGCAACCAACGGTAAACCACCGGATCAAGCTTAACGTTGGTGGCAAGCTATTCGAGACCACGTCATCTACTCTCCAGGTCGGTGGTCATGATTCCCTCCTCGCAGCCCTCTCATCCCGCCACGCCATCGAGAACGACGAGCGGGAGCCTATCTTCATCGATCGCGACCCAGAGATCTTCTCTACTCTCCTCTCCCTCCTCCGCTCAGGTCGCCTCCCATCTGCCGCTCGACGCCGCTTCTCCAAGCAGGACCTTGCCGAGGAAGCTCTCTATTACGGCATCGAGGGGCGCCTTCGATCGGCTCTCTCCCCGCCTCCTCTTATGGGAATCAACGCCACACTCGCTTCCACCATTGTTCCCGCTGCCGAAGCCCATCCCACCGCTCTTTATGCTGGCTCCGATGACGGATCCATCTGGATAGCTCACGGTGGCCAAATCTCTGCCTACGATTCGAATCTCATCCATTCGGGAACCGTCCGCACACATCTCGAGGATATCGCATCCCTACGATGCATCTGGCCGGAAATCGCTGCGATCGGCTCTCTGCAGACACCAGGATTGCACTTGTACGACGTTTCCAGCGGTCGCCAGGTCGCGTTGGTCAACTGGTCCGATCCATCGGATCCCCGCGTCTACAAGGCTAGGGTCACTGCAATTGGAGCCACCGAACCGGGGTACAACGGAAGGCGCCATATATTCGCGGCATTCGAATGCCCTCACCGCGAGAATTGTATCCTTTCGGTGGATCGATCCACTTTGCAAATCGTGTCGGAAATAGGACGGTTGTCGGGAAGCGGATCAAAAACGTCGTCTCCGGGAAAGCTTGTGGATCTGACGGAAGTCGGAGGCGGGGTGGTGTTTGCTTCGGCGGTGAGTTCGGGGGCGTTTGGGTACTCGGGCTACATGAGGCTTTGGGATCCTAGGACGGGAAAGGCAGTGTGGGAGACTAGCGAACCAGGGAGTGGGGTGCGGAGCGACAGGTTTGGCGACTCATTTGCCGACGTAGATGTTGACAGGAAGGAGATGGCAATCTACAAGGTGTGTTGGAAGTCAGGCGATCTAGCTGTTGCGGACATGAGGAAGCTGAGCGAGGATCCATGGTTGTACCTGGAAGAGCGCAGCGCTGCATTGAGGAGCGCTGGTGGAGGAACAAACAGCATCGTCAGTTGTTACAATGGGCAGGTGTTTGTGAGTAGAGAGAGTGGTCTTGAAGTTTGGTCGCGTGCAGAGGAAGAGTCGGAAGAGGGGGAAGGTGATGCTCAGAGGAAGAAGATTTGGAGGAGGAATTTTGTGGACAGGGAAGATGATGCGAAAAGGGGTTTGATTCGAGGGATGGAGGCTGGTGGAGATCGGCTGTTTGTGTGCAGGTCTGGAGTGGAAGGGGTTGAGGTGTGGGAGAGCTCCAATTTTTCCGGTGCCATCTGTCTGTTCTGACTTGGTAATTGTATTCTGAATGGCGGTCTCTCTGCATCAATGCTTAGCAGAAATGGAGTTTGGGCAAAGCTTGAGATTATGCTTGTTTTTATATGTGGTGGTTTATTATGAAGGTATGTTTTTGCTTTTTTGGGATTATGCTTGTTTTTCATATGTGGTGATTTTCTATTATGGACATTCAATTACTGATTGTTATGATTATCTATCCTAGTCATTTAATATGTTTAGAAAGCCAAAATTTTATTGAAATCATTTCACATAATTTTTACTAAATTTTGTGAAATTAATCCTCATCATTTAATATCCACATTTAGGATAGATAATTGCACATTACCATGATAATTAGATATCTGAAGAGTGAAGACCCAAATCCTTACCTTTGATATTATTATTTTAATTGATTTGGCTCTTGACCAGTTTCTACGTGACTGCTGCTTTGATTTCCTAAGTATGGAATCCGTTTCAATTAACTGAAATATCACACCTTATGGAGATTCATACTTGTCTTCATGTCTGCCATTTCTTCTTAAATGATTTGCGATTATAATGAAGATAATCAGCATTATGCATATATGCATGTATTTTCTATTTATTGTTTTCTAAAGAAATATGTAAAGAATATACAAAATTCAAGGAATGTAATTTAAATAATATATCCATCAATTATGACTAGGACTACTAGGGTATCTAATCTTTTATGTTCCTCTAGCTTTTGTCTCTTAGTGTCAGTGTCGGCCCAGCAGAGTGCTTTATCGGTAGATACCTAGGCACCTAGAGACAAGGAATGGCGTAACAAGCGACGAAATGCTTTGTGGGTTACCATGATAAACTGTGCTGGAGTGCCAAACTTGCCAAAAGTGTGGTGAGCAACAATTGCCTCCAAAATTCAAAATGCATATACTCATTCTTAGAGGGAAAAGTTAGACCCTGCAGATCAGGTTGCCCGATTTCAATCAATGATCTTACTACTCTTTGTTAGCAATGTGGTGAAGTTATCACACATACTTTGGTAGATCTCATACATGCTTACCAAGAGCATCACACCTTCGCCAATTTCAAATGGCAGATTATTACTCAATTTTTTCAGCCCAATCAAACATGAGGCAAAGGAAAACAAGTTTTTGAGGCAATTCTTGACTCATCTCCAGAATTTGGTGTCAGAAATTTAAAACTTGAAACCTATTGCTCCTTGGATGGTATGTACTCTAGGCCTCCAAGTTCTTTTTTTTTCTGTGCCCTTGGAATTGTCATAATCATTGGAAAATTGTTGAAACTTGCTAGTAGTTAAATTAAAGTTGAAGAATATAATCAAATTGTATCTATGCGTGCAACCTTTGCCCCATGGTCTTTCGAGGAGGCATCATTGTAACTTGTGCACAAATCACATCATCATCCAAATAAGTCTTTTTTAGGCGTGGAATTTCTTTTGTTTGAAAATATGGGAAGTGGAATTAAAATTATAAGGGAATTTGACTTGGGATGTATCAATGAATTGCTATAGAGATTAGTCCTAAATCAGTCTACTCTATGAACTCATAATATCAATGATTAGCTAGCTAGACATTTATATTTCATAAATATACCCATTATTTGATTTAGAATTCCTGGGTGTCAATGTTTTTCAAAAGAACATTATTATTAAGATTAATTACATCTTTGATGATGCCCAAACAAACTCTCAATTAAGGAATCTTGTTTGTGTTTTATTTGTGTTTAATGATTAATCTCTTTTAATAAGAAAATAGGACTCAAAATGAGAAAATGAGTTGAATTTTATGAGCACTAAAGCATAGTCAGATAGGCAATCCTAAGGCATGTAGTGTAGTGGATGGGTTTATGGTGTTGTGAAGACTATGGACAAGCTTCTAAGGCGAGGGAGATATAGTCATAAGATTGTAGTCAAAGCAACCTAACTCATGATTATGAAAAATCCTTCTTTATATCTGTGGCTTTTTATTTTAATTTTATAAACAAAATCCCTACTTTTGGTTTTGGGTAGTCAAGAGAATGAAAGTTAATGAAGTGAAATTCAATGATGGTGGAGCTTATATTCAGAAATATCTTACAAGTTCGGATCATCAAAAACAGCTAGCATTATAACTCAAGATAGCTGTAAGGGAATTATAGCTTTGCAAACCTAAAGAAAGGGCAGACTAACCTAAGGAATAAGAGTATGGCCCAAGTTAAGATTTCATGGTTTTCCATCATCCTAGGTTATCGTAGCTTCTGGTCTACCTAGTTAGGATAGATAATTAGACTTCTCTAACTATGAGCATTCTTATCAGCAATCATGAGTTGCATTGTCAAAAGGACCTCATAAACCTGGAGGTGTAAAAGGGATTTGATCTTAAGTTGACAAATGGGATCTATATTTCACAACCATAGGAAATGAGCGGTTTAAATAAAGGCTCTAAACCTTAAGAAATGAGAATTTTTTAAATTGTAGGAGAATTCTTGGTGGTTCGGAATTACAACATGATTGCACTAATGACCATAAGGCCCAAAAATGCTAGACTTACATCTTTCCTAGTCAGGAATGCCACTAATCCACCTTGTCGCATATGTAAGCAAGTGATCAATCAAGCTTAAATTGATAGGAGGGAGACATACCCTAGAGCTGGCTAAATGGGGAAGATGCATGTGTGTGAAGTGTTTGTGTTTGAGCAATCTATCATAAAATGAATCATGGACTACATATAGACTCACAAGGTAATGATATATGTACACCAGTAAGATTGAAAGTTGGCAAGTTGTATATCCACTATTTAAAATTACATAATACAAAATGCCATGAGGTGTGTAATTCAAATGAGGTGTATGCCTCTCATCTGGTGAGGCGTTCCATGTCCCATTGCACATGAGGCACACACTTCTTTGTATTAGTTTTTTTTAATTAAAAATATTAAATATAGCCTAATATTATACCTATCCTTATCCTTACGCATGCTAGTCCACGAAAATTGAGTGACTGAAGCTTTCCTCTACTCCATCCACGCCATCGCCACCCTTCTCCAACATCAACGTTGTTGCCACCACCTCCATTTCCGCACCCCTCCTCCTCTTCAAGTTCTTTTCTTCATAATTTTTTTTAGCCCACGATAACTTCTAAACTCTAGTTTTTTCTCTTTAAGTTTATATAATTTTTTTTCATGGTTTAACTAGGGTTTTTTTCCCTTGTAGTGGGATAAAGGCTTGTTATTATTGTTGTTTAATTAGGATTTTTATTTCTTTGAATATTTGCTTGTTTTAAAATTTATTTGAATCAAAGTTTTCATTCTAGTATTTTGAAAGAAATGAATTAGAGGCAAAGAGAAATTCACAACTACTCATAAAAAGGATCCGATGTGGAGACATAATGTGCAAGTCGATGTTTGATGAAACGACAAAATATATTTTTATTTGAAGTTCAATTATTATGAGAAGATAGTTAAAGGTTATGTTAAAAGATGGAGTACCTCTCTAGCTTGCACAAAAATGTTGCATTGTTTACCAAAATGCCAAAAGTAGTGAAAGAAGTGATCCATTCATATGCAAGTTGATGATGTCAAAGCATTTGGCATAAGGACAACTTTGTCATAGAGTTGATGTCGGCTCTTATCATGAGAGTGAGTACAGTGGCAAGGACTCATCATCCTTGCCACCAATGCCAAGTAGAGGTGCAAGAGGTCTCATGGATCATTACATGCTAAATGTAGAGGATGACAAGAATCATGGAGGTAGGGCATCTACATCTAAGAAGATATATCCAAAGAATATTAGGGAGGCATGCAAACATGTTCGCATGAACATTGGGAGGTTTTTCCATGAGAATGATATTTCATTCAATTTGGCAAACCCTCCTTACTTCAATATGAATCGTTCCATAGGTGCTTACGGTTGAGGATTGAAACCCTTGCCATATGAGACTTAAAAACTTGAAAAAGAGTTGAACAATATATTGAAAGCCATTGAGGAAATTAGAAAACTTGGAGTCAATTTGAAGTGAAAAACATATTTGATGGTTGGTCTTGATATTAAGTTAAGTTTGATTAATATTTTGATAAATAATCTTTATGGAGCTTTTTTTTAAATCTATAGGAGTATCTAATTAGGAGAAGGATGTGGAGTTTTTTTTTTTTTTTTAATACTTGATGAAGTGATAAATGAGACTAAAGAGCATTTGGTGTAGGTTGTGACAAATAATGCTAGTGCTTATGGGTAGTTGGGACTAAATTGATGGAGAAGAGAAAATATTTATATTGGACACCCTGTGCTGTATATTGCATAGATTTCATTCTAAAAGAGCTTGGTGATTTGCCTCAATACAAGAATGCCTAGACTAAAGCCAAGAAGATAAGCAAATTCATCTACAATCATTCTTGGGTTTCAACTTTGATGAGGAAATTTTCTAAAAAATAACTGCGCCAGCTAACTATGGGTTTCATTTACCATGTAATAAATGGAGCTAAGGAGTTATAACCTACAACTTAGGAGGAGATGATACTTTGTAGCTTAGTACCTTTACCATTAAACTTTAACTTGATACTTTGCAGCTTGCGCAATTCATTACTTGTATATATGTAAATTGTTGCTTCTTACTATTTTAGAATTTTAATATATCTTTTTTTAATATATTAATATATCATGATGCTAATATATTAGTTATTACATTCATTTTGACTCTACTTAATTTGCAATTAAAAAATCATAAGCTAAAGAAAAATCTAAAATGGTCTTGTCATCTTCATTTGTCGTTCCAAACTTATGACCACCATGAATCCTTTTAAAATCATCTACCTCTCTACCAACATGTCCATTTAGATCTTCTCCAAGAAAACTCTTTCTGCAAGATGTATCTTTTGTATTAATTCTTATAAATCATTTCAAAATTTTAATTTTGAGCCCATATCCAAACCTACTTGAGGAGCATAAGTACTTATAATATTAGTAATCTTAGCATCAACTATAATCTTTAAAGCTATAAGCCTATAATTTTATCTCCAATTCTATTAATTTTTATAATATTATCCTTCAAACTTTTATCTATAATCACACATACACTATTTCTAGTACGACTCTTACTCGAATACTATAGTTTAAATACTAAACTATCAATATCCTTAACCTTCTCTCA